TTATCACAAAATTTCACCTGCAGCACAAAACACAAGCATTTATGTCAAAGGATAATGCACCCAACCGTAATTCAGTTAAAAGGCTGTCTTTTTAGTGAAAGTTTACCAACAAAATTGCATCTTAAAGTCTCTTAATATGTCTAGCTTACAGGGGGTGATCTACAAGAAGTTTATATGTGGTTGTTGTTGTTGCCTCAAAATATTTGGCATTTTGGAGAAACAAGCTTTTCATCCCACAACCTCCATATGCTGTAAAGTAGATGCACTGAAGTGTTACAGCAGTTGAGTTAAGTCTTAGCTCCATCTGCTGGACAGTAAATTTCAGTAACAACAGATGGATTGATCAAATACACATGTATTCAAAATCAGCTTTTTACTTCAACATGCTTTCTTCTTAAAATTAGCAAATTAGCATCGATGCGCCGCAGTTGTAATTTTCTGTTTGATTGAAACAGTTTGGTATAAAGTATTTTGTTTTGTCTCTGGGGGAGATACTCTGGACTTGCTTGAGGTTCACCTCTAATCTGAGAAACTTCTTCGGTTCTGACTGACTCATACCTTGGACTAAGTAAGAGGTGAAACGGCACTTTATATTTATAGCCTTGGTTTTATTTTTAGTATATATCACTGGTACTTTCAAATTGTGTAATGTGGTGAGTTTTTAACCAGAACCGATTTGATTGAATTAGCTTTTTTAATCTATTTTCGGATAAAAACAAACACAAAATAATATTGTGACATACAGCATTCAGCAAATTATAAAACAAATATAGGTGTTGTGGAGGTAACTAAAGAAGTGTCCATTCTAGGAATTTGAACATTATTATGATAGCTATGGACACTGGATTCCACTGTTCAAAAAGACATCAGTGAGACACATCACTACATCGGGTGACACATTTTTTCTTTACAAAACACCAGACCAGCATATTTGAAAAAAAAAATGCTGCCCCTAAAGATCCCAACAGCTCTAACTTTTTACAGCATCTGAAGTAAGCAAGAGTCTGTTCTGCATGTACAAGATCTCTATGTGAGCTCTTTGCTTTGTTTATAGTCTGATAGCCCCTCAAGCATTCATGGAGATCTCGTGCATGAATCTTGCAACTTCAGACAGTAAAACATTATGGTCATGGTAACTGTGAGAAGAAGCAGTTCATTGTTGATTTTAATCTTTGTATGGGGATGGCTGAAAATACTAATAATATAGAAAATGACTGGCCTTATCCTTTAACATAAGGTCAGTAAATTAAGAGGGCTAAATCTGAATATATTGTAGGCCTGTAATTTTGGTTTTAGCAAAACGTCTAACAATTATTCTGCTACATCCTAATTTGTGTGGTTGTTGGTTGATTTGTTTGTTGGTCTTTGAGCATCGCTCAATGTGATGAATGGATTTTGATGAAATTTTGGAGAGGTAGAATATGGCCCACAGAAAAATAGATTCATTTTTTGTTCTGCTCCATATCATAATATGGATACAGGAATATTTTAAATGCTTCTTCACCAATGCGAGTGCTGGAAAGGCTGCTGACTATATATGAGCCCCTTCTGGCCCCATCATCAGAGCAATAAGACTGTAAGTAATGTGAGAATTCAGAAGCACAGCACTAAGTGTTTTAATGTCTACTAAGTATGAATGTGGGATTTGATGTGCTTTGTCTATTTTAGGGAAACAAACAGTTTTTCTGAATATATAAGGAGCTGAGTTGCTGTGAGTGGGCAGTAAACCTGACGTTAATGGCCGGCTGATATTTAGTGTTTAAAATTATTATCATTATAATCTTTCTGTGTCCTTCATATATGACATGAAACCAAGTTGAACAAAGTTTCTCATGTTTTTCAAAGGGGCAGAGACTAAACTAGAAAAGGTGATATTTTTGATAGTGAAGATGTAAACTCAGGTGTTTCTGTTTAGTCCACCCTCACTGATACAACATCACACCTCTCAGTATAACACAGCACAAGGCCCACTATGTGTCTTGCTCATGCAACTACTAGGCAAGAGCCTGGTGGCAGAGATTGTGAGGTTGCACTCTCTGAGTACTGTCTAGTTGAATATATATTTCTTGCTTAGATTGTTTCTAGAAACATGGTGTCATCCAGTTTCAACCATTAAAAATCTGAGCTCTAAAGTACAGTAATGGACTTATATAGTGCTTTTCTACCATAACACTTCAAAAACTTTGCACCTCTTGCACATTCACTCACACTTACATTGAAGTATTCACGCAGTGATGGTGGACAGAACATATGAGGCCATTGGGGGCAATTTGGGTTTCAATGTCTTACCCAAGGACACTGACATGTGAACTGGAGAAGCTACATCCCACTCTACAGTATCTCATGAGCCACAGCTACTCCAATCTGAAATTGTATATTCCTTAAATCTCCATATTCTATTGCTCTCCGTGCTGACCCAGGTAGAATTGTAGTTCCAACCTCATAAGTCATATATAGTATTCATCAAGCACAAGCCCAAGAAATTTATATTCTAAAATTACTATTTTGATGGATTTGTTCATCTTTATTCTTAGTTATTCTTAACAACATCTCTGACCATTTTTTTTAATTGGCCTATATGATTACACTATGTACAGATTGTATTTGACCTTATTGTATATATCAAATGCAGTGACATCTGACATTGATCTAAGCCCAGACACTGTATATATATATCTTCACTGTTGTTGCTTTATTCTTTTAGTGACAGTTTTGCTGTTCTGACAGTGATATTTGATAAAACTCTGAGATGCCAGACTCTTCAAAAACATTTGTTAGATGGACAAGAGAAAAACTGACAGGACTGCCAGGCACTGACTTCTACATGGGGAGATGATAGTTTGAGTTAAAGTGATTATTATTTTCTTTTTATAAAGGACAATTTTGCAGTATTGCTGATGCCAAGTAATTAGTGCCTTTAAAATCTGAAAAAGAACTTCTGCGCTGTTACAGTTAATATTAAATCTTTTGCATGTGTAGGTATATTTTGCCTTGTGTCTGTTACTGTTTTATATAAGAAAGTACAGTATGCCAGCACATTAAACAGGCAGATGTTTTACATCATCCATACATGGACAGCTCCACTGTGCTGCTACTCTTGCAAAATATACAGAATAGAGATTCTCAATTTATTGATAAACTGTGTAATTGAAACTCATGTCCAACATTAGTTGGCTGAAATTAGCAATGCACTAAAACCGCTTTCTTGATTATTATATCAGTAAGTGCGTTTCACTCATCCCAGACTGAACTCAGAATAGAGTGCCGTCAGATGCCTGTTGTCATGCAGCCAGCCCATTGCCCCTCAGCAGGGGCAAAATTTACATACTGTACATTCAGTATGTGAGCTGGAAAGCACACACACACAAACATACATTCACACTTAGGTACTCAGGTTCATTTGATGAGTCTTCAGATATTTTCACATCTGCTTGAGCTACCCCCACATGCAGCGGGGTGTTGGGCGGCCACGTGGCATAGCACTGCACAGCGTGGCATATGTACATGTGTATGTACAGCAGATGAAGACAATAGATGTTTCATGAAAGATTTACTAACTCACTGATAGTCGGCCTTAGAAACTGAGTAGAGGCCAGTGGGTCGAGGCAAAAAAGGAGGGAGGGAATTCCAGGGAAAATCCCTGAATGTTTGAAGTGTGATTTTGCAGTCACAGAGGAGATTTAGTATTCTACCACTCAGGAGTGATCATTCTCACAGAGGCTTTCACTAAGCCTCCGTCACACCCGTGATCCTACATATCGCATCTCCATAGAGCTTGATGGCTCATGGAAACTTGCCTGCTCCTAAACTCTAGCCAATTACATACTCCAACTTGACTGATTGGTGGTTTGAAAAGATCACAGCACATAGAGGAATGTGGTTCAAATTCCTGAGATCAAGCCCTCACAAAACCCAGTGTACGACACATTCTGTTAAATGACCTCCCTTTCAAACCAGAAAAGGTGAAATGGCACCAAAAGAACATTCACCTTGACCAACACTTGATTTTAATGTCTGCATTGTTTCTCTGTATAAGCCCTGCCTGAAATGTGGTTCGGAGATTTCAGCCCTTCTGCTGTTTAAGTGAAACCATATATATTTCCTTTATTCTTCTGATAATCTGAAATACCCCTGAGAGAATTTTTAAAGTAGTCTGCACCAAAGTAAATGTCTGTGTATACACTGTGTACATACCTGTGTCGACCTATTTGACTGCTTCTCACATAACTGTAGTGACCTGTAATGTTATGTCCTGCATGAAGACTTAAAAAGACATTAAAATGGCATTAAACTAAACAAAAGCAAATAATATCCTGGGGGGTAAAGCAACTTTTAAACTCAGAAACCCCCACCTCTGCATTAGAGCAGTTCCTGCTGCAGGCCCCTTTCAAGACCTGAGTTCATGAGACAGAGTCATGTTGCTTAGACTTCCAGGCCTGCCAAGACACAAGACATCTCATCTGGCTCTCTCACAGTAATATAATTAGCTTAGGCTCAAGTGCAACCATAGCCGTTTAGCTGCACAACAGAGTGACTTGTTTTTGCTGTAGTCACAACAAGAAGGGTTTTCCTCTGGTTGTAAAGCAACTTGGACATATACACCCAAGGATCACAGCAAAAACTGGGGACATATCTTGTGTTACAGCTGACTGAACGTGGAGCGACCTTTCCTTAGACAGTCACTACTACCATAATATTTCTGACCTTGAAAATGTATTTTACGCTGAAACATCGACCGGAGAAACGTGTGTATCAAGTTGAACGCGCTCTGGTTGTTTTCGAAGCTGGGCTATTTGCGTCAGTTGAGGCACCTGGGGACAAGGTGGGACGGCTCTGCCTCGTGAGCGCACCGCGTTCACGCTCCTCTCTCCATATCACTGACTTCTTTAAGTAACTCTGCGGCCCCACGAGACGGACGTGCGTTATAGCACGTATAGGAACAGCGAATACAATCTCCGAACATGCGCGCCGATAACCATCAAATGACACCAATCGCGCGCTGTCACGTTCAGCTGGTCTGGACCCAAAAGTAATTCTTAAGCTTTGTCGCGCGCAGGAGCAACTTTTTAACACGCGCAGTAACAGCACCGGAGACGCACGTTGTAAAATGAGGTTGGGAAGCATCTTTTTATTTGTCGCTCTCTGCTCTTTTACCGCTTATTATATTTATGAGCCCATTCCCGAGGAGATAGAAGAGAGATGGAAACTCATGCTGATCAACTCTTTCTTCAGGAGTCTCAGCCACCTGGTAAGGAAAAATCAGAAAGCTATTCTTGCAGGCTATCCTGAAATACTGTTAATGACTTTGGAATCTATCAAGGCTATCAAGTAAACTACTGTGGATACAGGGGACACTTTTTTCTTATTTTAGTTTAATACATAAACAGGTAGAACAAATCTAACCGAAATAAGTGATGATTGTTTTTATTGCCTTTGTTTATTGTAGGCCACACATTTTTCGTGTTCTCAGAGTAGGCAAGGTGGAGGTTTAAACCGTTCTTGTATTTTGCTGCTGTAGAGATTAATGCTGGTTACACCAGATTATGTCAAACGCTAATCTAAGGATTAGCGTTTGACATAATGTTGTTTAGTCCTGCTCGCCCGTTTTATTTATAGACCTAATTAAGGAAACTGTGTGTGACCTTAGACGCCTGAGGTAAACTGTATCAGACCGATCAGGGCCTAAGGCTTTTTTTATTTTTACTGAAGCAAACGATCTGTATTTTCAGGCTGATATGGGTGCCTGATAGTACACAGAGCCTGTAGAGGACGACTCTTTGATAAGTTTAGTAACAGTAAAAGAGCATCAGATGATTATCCTCATGCCAGCCTGACTGCCTACAGTAGTGCATAATGAAGTAGGAGTCATGCTTTTATAACTTATCATTTAATCATCTGAGAAACAAATGACTGTAGGGGGCTAATTTAATAAATAAATAAATAAATATGCCCTCATTTATGGGTGGTGGTGGTGGGGGGTGTTTGTGTTAAATGATATCTTTAACTCTCCAAAAGAAAGAATGGGACACAAACACACACATTAGAAGTGCTCCTTTATTATTTTTCTTCATAAACTGGAGGGCCTGTTGATATTTTACCAGGCAACATTCACATGACTATTGTTCTTCTTTCTCTGCCTCTATATAGCATGACCACATAACTAAGCATCTAAGTCCTTTCTCTTTTAAATATTATACACTTTGGTCAAGGTAATTATTTAGAGGATAAACTGGTTTACAGTAGCCTTATTTTATGTTGCAATAATGACATTGGTTTAATGAACGATGATAAACTAATGTTTCTGTCCGTACGTCTCATGCTGCTTCTGTTTCCCTTTCTAGGCAGACCTCAGTGAATTACTGGGGCTGAAAGACTACATGGGGGTAATGTATATCATTACTGTGGTTGAAAAGGTAGTTCCTCTGTCTGATGAACTTGTCAAAGTAACAGAGGAGAAGTTTGATGAAGTCGAGGTGCTTCTTTACCAGCCAAAGCAGCAGGGTGCTGACAGCGAGCTTAGGGGAGCTGTCATATACCTGCACGGTGGAGGATGGTGCCTGGGGAGTTCCCGTAAGTTGTAGAGTTGGCCTGTCTTCTCCTTTATTAGACACAGTTATGGCTCTGTGACTTTTAGGCACAGATAGACAGATGGCTGGCTGGATGGATGAATGAATGGGTAATGCATGTTTTTGTGACATGTTTATCACACAGTAATGCCACTGTTGCTCTGACAAAGTACTCACTGTTTGATTGATGTGACAAATAACGCTACAGCGTTTTACAAGCTCCCTATCACAGCTGTTATGACAGGATCATAAATAATGAACAAGCTATCAAAGATGAGCTACAAAACTTTCACAGTTTCCTGAGGAAACACCACATCATCTGCCGGAGCTGTGGGGACCTCAGAGGGTGGTTACCTCTACTGATCCAGAATCTAAATACATGACAGAGTTTGACAAACATTATGCTGTTTTTGCAATCTGTTGAATGTCTGTAGCAGTTACAGAAAGCCATAAAGTACCAGCAGAGTAGATGGAAGGTCGATCTCTGTTAATGCAGTTTTACCTTCATGTAAGGTGACGTATGATATCAGTTACTGTGGTGGTTTGTGTTGCTTCAGGATTTCTGTTCTGTCTTCTGTCTATGCAGGCATGAGTCCATATGATCTCTTGGCCAGAAAAATTGCCGCTGAGCTAAATGCAGTGGTTCTTTCTGTGGAGTAAGTATTTCATATTTTAAGGCCAGTTATATGAAATGCAGTGTAATGCAGTGCACAAAAAGTATGGATAATGGTCCTTAGTGTAATTGGTGCAACACTTGAAATCAAAGATTTATTCAAAACAGCTGCTCTGTGACTTCAGAGGACAATCCACTCATTAAAATAGCTTTGAAAGACAGGTTTCCTTTTTTAACCCCCTTGGACATTCAGGCTAAATACTAGGTTTGGATCTAAAATGCAGACATGGACTAGGATGGAGTTCTTAATGGTCTTTAATATTAAGGATAAGGTATTGAGAGACAAAAGGGCGGGGGGAACAAACCAAAGGAGCTCAATCTGGCGAAAGTGTAACTCAGGAATGTACAAACAACAACTAAAACAGATCAGCGCAGGACCTAGATGAAAAACACTCTAAACAAACAAACCTAAAGGAACAAACCAAGAAATCCTTGAACACAGAAGCAAGGCGAAGCAGTCCAGGGGTAGCAAAACAGAAAAATAGAACAGGAGACACATGGCAGGAGTGGACAGAGTGTTGTGTGGCAGGAATAGACAAGGTGTGGTGTGGCAGGAAAGGAACGAACCAACAAGTGATTGAGGGGAAAGGAGGGGAATATATAGGCAGAAGACCAGAGGATAACGAGCAGCAGGTGGAAACAATGAGCAGTGATTAGAAACCAAGGTAACACTGGGACAGGTGAGATGACACAGGAACCAGGAAATTAAACCAAAATAAAAGCACAAAACAGGAAGCAAGTGTAAACCATGATAGCAGTTGTTGGTTGCTTTATTTATTTATTTTACACACTACATTTTTTCATCTTTTATCCGCTTGAAATGTCATCTAATGCTCACATGCATGCGCACGGCTTTTGAAACATGTCTTAATTTATGTTTTAGTTTTAATCTGCACCTTTCTGATTACTCAGTTACCGCCTTGCCCCCTCTCACCACTTCCCTGTTCCATATGAGGATGCATACCATGTGGTCAAACACTTCCTCCAGGAGAGGGTGCTGGCCCAGTACTCTGTGGACCCGGGACGCATTGCTGTGTCTGGGGATAGCTCTGGAGGGAACTTGGCAGCTGCAGTCGCCCAACAGGTATTATATCTAATTTTCCTTTATAGGGTCAGCTCTGTGTTTCTGGTTTACAGGTGGAGAAAGAACTGTGTGAAAAGGTTCACAAGGAAAAGAGAATAAGCCCTAGCAAAGTAAGGGGTTTAGCTCCCTCAAAATGTGTTCTAAATTTATTTTTTTAAATAGTCATTTAGCTATAGGTTTAATTCTACTATCCCCAGGCTTCAGTACAGTTTCACACACAATACAAACACTTGGAATGACAAGGCTACATTTTGTTGTATTGTTTATAGACAATGAGCTGAAAAATCTACTTTGTTCTCAAAATGAATGCATCGCATTGATACTGTATGCATGCACACTGAAATTTGTCTGAACACACTGAGTCAGGAGGAGCAGCCATATGTATGACTGAGCAAGTTTTGTTTTAGTGGACAGGGGTACGGCAGTATTAACTTGATTATTTTATTACATCCATGAGGTAAGCTTTGTGTTGTCATAGAAACACGGTTGCTGTGCATCACTATAATTTCAGCTGAATAAGAAAAACAATGTATTTTTACATTCCTTTCAATGCATGCCAATCTGTCTGCCTCTCTTCACAGTTACAAAGAGAGCCTGGACAGCGGATTAAGCTAAAGGTGCAAGCACTCATCTACCCTGTGCTACAGGCTCTGGACCTTAACACGCCTTCCTATCAGCAGAATCAGGACATGCCCATTCTTCCTCGCACCCTGATGGTGCGTTTCTGGAGTGAGTACTTCACCAGTGACAAGGTCCTTTTCAGAGCCATGATGGCCAACACCCACAACAACCCTGAATCTTCCAACCTGCTGAAGTTTGTAAACTGGAGCACCTTTCTACCAGAAACATATCATAGGAAATACAGCTACAGTGCTCCTGCAGTGGTACAGGGAGTCAGAAGGGAGGCAACTGGGATGGATGGGCCATCTCGATCTTTGACTGACCCAAGAGCATCACCCCTACTGGTTCCAGATATAGCCTTACGCTCTCTGCCAAAGGCCTACATTGTGACATGTGAGTATGATGTTCTCCGAGACGATGGGCTCATGTATGTCACCCGGCTCCGTGCTGCTGGTGTAGACGTGACACATGAACACTATGACACTGGATTTCATGGAGCGATGATGTTCACTGTGTCACCAACAGACTTCCAGATTGCACGTCACATGACAGACAACTATATCAAATGGCTAAAAGAAAACTTATAAAAACTCTTGATATTCATTCCAGCTCATTCCAGATAATGCAGCAGTGTGGCAAGGTGCAAAATTTTCCCAGCCTTTTGCTTTTCCTTGGTCATGCTAGTCCTTTGTAAATATTTTTTCTGAAATACTGTATGTTCATTTCATTTATTTTCCTACTTATGCATTTTACTACAAGACACCAGTAGGAAACAGGACGTTGAAAGGATACAAGCACAAATCAGAAGAGGCCAGAAGGAAAAAGTTACAGAAGAATATCACAAAAAGTTGTGGGTTTTCTTCTTCTTCTTCTAGCTGGGTAACTAAACCTCAGCACTTGCCACCTGCTTTTATTTCCACTCCATCAGTATTAACATTACTATCAGTAATGCCAAAAACTATCTCTCAGTGGTTTTAAGAATCCAGTATGTGTCTTGGCAACGCAGTGAAGGATTTTCAGCAAAACAGCATGGAACATTTCCTAAAATTACATCAAAAATGGTCATTGTATTCTGCTAAATATAGCCGTGTTTTTTTAACCCTTAGCTGTGTCTGCAGGCAGAAAGGTGCTTGGTGTTATATTAAAGCATTTAAATTGCAAAGTTAATAGCTATCAGTAATGACCTGCCTTTGCATAATGAGTATAGGCAGTGTTATAAAGGTTCCTTCTGTGCTGGTAGAGGAAAGCTGCCTGTGCAAGTCTCAGTTTCATGATGAAATTCATAATTGCAACAGTGTGTACAGTAGATAAAAGATTTTATGGCTGGCACTAAGTGTATATGCATATCTCGGCTCTGTCTACTGTACTGTATGTATTGTATGACTGCAGTTTGTTAGTCATCAGACAACTGTTAGTCCCTGAACCTATGCTCTAACAGCATTCAGAAGATAAGAAGTTATGTTTATTTCTCCTGGAGGCCCAGCAACCAAATCAGGTGGTTTGAAACCATTCGCTGACATTGACACCAATCTTTGACTTCCCTAAAAGATTATATGGAAGCTTTACCAAAAAAATCATTGTATATGAGTGTTACTGGTTAACTCTATTGTCTGTTACTGGTTAACTCTGTTAGGTAAGCTCCACTGAGTTACAGATGAAAATCAAACAGAAGAAAGTCTTAGCTTATAGGCAGTGTTTTGTTTTAACAGTTTCTCATTTTACAAACAATCTAAAATGTAACTATGACCTAATATATTTATTTTGGATTCCCACTTGGAGAGTATATGACATGCATCGTTTTTAAATTTTATGGTATCTGGCAATAAATTGACTTGACTTTTCACTGTTGATTTGTGTGCCAAAACATATAAAGAAAAGAAAGAGTACTAGAATAGAAGGTAACATGATATCTTGTCATTTCAAGTACAGTACACATAGTGAAACTGAATAGAATGATATTCAGTGAAGGATAGACTCAGACACACCAAATCCGCTTGGCGCCACTTGAGTGAAGCATTTCCCGTTGGATCTTTTGAGGGTTCACAGTCAATCCCCAAGTATAATGCAGGCTGTGTCCACACATCTACTACTATACACACCACCACGCATTCTACTCAAGAGACTGGGAAAAAAATAACAAGCTGTATAGTTCCATACATAGCAGAGAGCATGATGCATGAGTGTTAATAGTCCATTTATACCATAAACATTATTCAAATTGGTCAACTTTGTTCATCAGGACACATTACTTACAACACTCCATGCCTCCAGAGTGTGGAGCAGACTACACTACCATCAAAAGTCTAGAGGCATTTACCCATTGAATTTCATAGGGAAGTGTGTCCCAATGTAATAACTTTTATTGCTACAAGATTATACTACCTAAAACAAATGCTTTATTCAAGAAACTGTAGATATAACATACAGAAGCCTTGCTAAAAACCTGTATAAAGACCATGTGCTTCATAGTCGTCCTGTTGTCTGAACTGCAGTACTGAATTATCTTCCCAAAGTATTATTACATTAAGATATCAAATTATACTGTATGTAATAGAGAGCTATAGGTTTTGTATTTGTCCTCATCTTTACTTTTCTCATTGGCTCTATTTCAAGACCTCTCCTCTGGTTTTTACTATGAAAATTGAAGCACACACACACACACACACACACACACACACAAAACAAAGCCCCATGTTTCTTTCTTTACTCATTCCAGGAAAGATGCCAATATAAATGAAATGGCTCAAATATGGTCTGATTGGTTAAGACCGAAAGAAAGCACCTGTTTATATTTTTGGTACTTTTCTTTCATCTTGTACAATACTGAAAAATGTTGTTTTCATCTTACATTATAAAAGATTATCCTGTGTTGTTTTCATGTAATGTATTTGAAAAGTAACTAGTAATTAAGCAGTACATCTGTTGGGAGTGACAGGTCCCATTCCTTCGATCTAGTTAAAACTCTTGGAGCGTCACTGTGAACTAAAAGGAAGGTGTGATAAAGAAGCCTGAGTGATACCAAAACATAAATAAATACATTAGTAAAGGTGGGGGGAAATGAAGGTGTGGATAACTTCCTCCAGTTCAGCGGAATTCAATTTTACAGTCTCATTGATTTGTTTTTGCCAAACTTCAATGATGAATACGATTTAATGTTTATTTATTTTAGCATGAGATTTAACAAATAGGTACTGAGACTCAAGGTATGAAGTAATATTGTTTAATGGTGAGGTCCAGATAACATATGGCACGTTTATTCGCAGAGAGCTGGAGGGAATTCACAGTCATCCAGTATTTTATGTCTTGAAGCCAGTTTTTACAGTCTGAGTTGTTTTTACCGGCAGACCAAACGGGCTGCAGCCCAGGCGGTTGCGGAGGCAAAAACTCGGGTCTGGGAAGAGTTCGGTGAGGCCATGGAGAAGGACTATTGGTCGGCCTCGAAAAGATTCTGGCAAACCATCCGGTGGTTCAGGAGGGGGAAGCAGTGCCCTGCCAAAACTGTTTACAGTGGAGGTGGGCAGCTGTTGACCTCAACTGGGGACATTGTCAGA